GGCTCCTTTGGGGTTTCTCTCAGCACACCCAGCCTACAAGCACAAGGCTCCTTTGGGGTTTCTCTCAGCCCTCTCTAATCTGGCAAAGCCACAGATTCCAGCAGTGCCTGGTGCCATTGGGGTTCTGTGCCAAGGCAAACCTGATCCCCACACTTTGCCTGTTCCAGGGGCACAGAATCAGGCACCTCTTGGGCTCCTGCTATCCATGGCTGTGTTTGGGAGCTGCCAGGGAACAGCAGGATCTAACCCAGAATTTGAGACATATATTTCAGAAACCTGGAGATGGACAAGTGTGTTTGCATCTCTGGCTCCAGAGAAACCAGAGGGACAGCTGTGACAGCACAGGAACATCACACGGAGTCATGTCCACATGGGGACAGAGCTTTCTGTCACAGGGACACTCTGGGATGTGTTTGGGTGTGGACAGTGACACCAACTGCAGCAGATTCCAATCCCATCCTCGTGGAGCACCGACTCAGGGACACCCACACTGGCTCAGAATTCCCATCTGACTCAGAATGCCATTTTTCTGAACTTATTTAAATTAAACCCATTCTCRCTCACCCCAACAGCAACTCCCCATCATAATCCCAAAACTGCTCATGAACTCGACACCAAACAGGTAATTCCAGGGCACACATGGGACTGTCCAGCATGGCTGTGATCCCACAGATCTGGTGGAGTTCCCTTTGGCCCCACCAGAGACAGAGGCTCATTAAAACCCAAACAACACCACCCCATAAACCAATGGGCTCTCAAGAGCAAATTAATTCCAGTTTTACTCACTTTCTGGAGAGCTTCTTGCTGCTCTGGGGTGAGGGGGGGCAGTCCCAGCTTTGCTGCCGTGCTCTGCCCATTTTCCATCTTAATGGACTCCGTACCCTGAGRAAACAGAAAATGCTCATGGAAAACTGTTCTCTCAGGAGTAACCCATCTCTTCCTTTCCAGAAAAACCAAAGCACTTCATGTCAGAACATCACAGCTCTGGCTAAAAACCCTTCCCAAACCCAGCCATATGTCAGGAAAACCAGTCCACATACCCACCATTCCCTGCAGGAAGAGCCACCCCAGCAATCACACAAACTAAACGGTGTGTTGGATATTTACAGTTTTCCAACCATGTTTGCAGTCAATCAGACAACCCCCACAATCAGATAACCCCCAATCCTTGCTCACATCATCTCCATCCCCTRAACAGCTTCACTGTCCAATCCCCATCAATGTTCTCCTCACATCTCTTCCTCCTGGCTCCGCTGACCCAAATTTCTCAAGGTCTCATTTTAAAACCTCTGAAATTTTCCCAAATCACAGAATCACGGAATGCTTTGCAGAGACCTTAAAGCTCAGCCAGTCCCATCCCATCCAGGGATACCTTCCACTGGAGAAATTGTTCCAAGTCCATCCA